GTAATTGCAGGGAAACACAGAGCTCCCTCTAGTGACTAATCTACAAATCTCTATATTTTATATAATAATAAAAATATGGAAGCGCAAGCATTTTTAAAATGTGAAAGTCACGTCCAAATGACTTCAAAATAAACACTGCAATAACTCAGGTTATGTGCTCACTGAAAAGTACATTATATTTTCCCTTTAAATAATAGCACAATCAAGGAGAAAACTGCTGATGTGTTGGGCTTTTTGAACTTGCATACAGGAATGAAAAATAACTCCTTTACAATTTAAGACCAATATTAATCCACCTCCACATTTACAAAACAAAAACGTATAAATCCAAGGACATCATCTGATCATTTTTCCACATTTAACATATTTACAATTTTTTCATCATACAGGTGAAGGCTATGGAAGTGATAACAAGGGCAGCTGTCATTTGTCTTTTATGATCCTGGAAACAAACACAAAATTCATATTTTCGCAGTTTTTTTTTTTTTTAAAGGTTCGATTTCAAAGATTTTTTTTCAACCACACAGATTTAAAAAAAAAATCCCAATACAACATATTAAAACACATAATAACAAGAGTCTACATGTAAAAATATAAATTTTACATACACGATTCCAAAATAATAATACGTTTGTCATTTGTTGCATAAAATTTACAAATGCAATTGTCATTTCTGAATGTATATAGCTGGAGGACAGATGGACATCTAGACCGTTTTTATGGCATTTTCACAGGGCTAAGTGTCGATAATCCTACCTAAATGATATTTAGTACATGCCAAGTTTGTGTGACTGGAGAAATAAGAGAGATTAACTAATGATAAGGACCGCACATAATGTATACTGCATATCAAAAGAAGTCATGAAAAGACCTTGCAGTTTGTAACTGGGTCAGTACAAGCAAGCTTCAATTTAGCTGTTTTTGTTTTTTTTTTATTGGGGGGGTGGAAAGTGACACCGAGTTGTCAAAAATTAACCCACATTCATACTGGCCCAAGAAAACCTTTGTTGCCACACTCGAGAAAGTGCTAGATGATACTCATCGGTCGGTCGGCTGATATACTTCTAAACAAATTAACACCGCCAATTTTTAAAAATGGCAACAATTGGTGACAAGCCACGCAGTTCTCTCACCTGGCGCTTATCAAATAATTCCGACCGCCTTATCAAAAAAAAAAAAAAGTCTTGTTGCATACCGCTTTAGCTACATATGTAGTTAACACTTATAAATTGGTTAGCTATATCACAGCCACTTAAGTTTTTTTTTTCTTTTTTTTCTTTTTTTTTTTTCTTTTCTTAATGATGATATAAACATTGAAAGGCACAGTGGTAACATTTTGTAGCATTCTAACCTTGTACCTATGAAAAAATCCCAGAATAGACTCAAATGTGCAGCTTTTACATAATGGCAAAAAGTTGAGATGCCACGTTTCGGCTGCCCAGAAAACTATGTACATGGTGTGACCTAAGACCTGTGCTCCCAAAGACTGGAATTACAACTCTGTTAACTGAGAAGCAACTATAGGCTCAGCATATAATCCTACATCACCTCTCTACAGAGTTCACAAGACAAGTCGCAAGGACGAAAAAAAAAAACAAAAAAAGAAAACAAAAAAACAAAACAGAAGACACACACACACAAACCTATTTACAGTAAAGTCTCTTTTTTTTTAAAAAAGTTATTCATCATTATTATTTATACAGAAGCAAAAACAGTTTTTAAAACAAATGAACCAAAAGTTTACCATATGCACTACATTTTCATATATATTTATATATATATTTATATATTTGTCATAGGTCTATTAGATCCATCTGTTCCTCCTACCCTAAGGAATGGCTAATATCAACGCTTAATTTTTAATCGGACATTTGCTGGTTTTGTTAAGTGTCTGGGCAGCAATACTTCCCGTGCTTCTGTTTTTTTTTTTTCCCCTCGAGAAAATATAAACACTAGTGGAATTTAACGGCGACAATCTTTTTTTTTTTTTTTTTTTGCCCCCCAGAAGTACACTTTTTCATTATTGCAAGTATACAATTGTTTTTTTTTTTTAATTAAATATTTTTTTTAGACTTACAAATTTCATTATATTTTTTTTTTTTCCAAAAGAAGTTTAGGCACAAATGCATTGTTCCACGACGTGGAGTAGATTGCCATTCACTGTCCAGGGTGCGTAGCAGCCACCTGCGTCATACTGCTTGGGACATTTTCTAAGGTATGTTAGGAGTCCTCCTTTACGTTGCGCTGATTCTTGTGTTGGGAATGCTCTTGCGTCTGTAATGCATATATCTACTCAGACTTGTCTTATTTTACAAAAAAGGGTCAAGGGAGAAATGTTTATCTGGGATTAAGATAATACAGCTGTTAAGGAAGTGGCTTCTTGCCTAAATGAAGAAATGCAAAAGGGGAAAAAAATGGAAAATACTGGACCTGAAAAAAGAACACAAAAAGGAAAAAATTAGAGAAAATGCTCTGGTTTATAAGGAAAAAAACAGCATGAGTTAAAACAGAACTAAAATCATATTTGGAAAAAATTGCTCACAGGTAATTTTCCTTGGCAGCAGAGACTCCGTATGGCTCGTCTCCTATAAACCCTTTTTCCTAGCCTAACATTTTTTTTTTAAACTTACACTGACCCATTTAGTAAATTACTGGGCTAAAGGAATCCATATCAATCTTCTGGTTGCAAATATAAGATGGCGGACAGATCATGAGCTCAGGTAAAGATCCACCTATTACTTTTGCTACTCATAAAACCCACAGCTATTTCCTCCTGTACCACTCTCCCCTCCCTCCTAGATCGTAAGCTCCAAGGAGCAGGGCCCTCGATCCCCTCATGTATCGCATTGTATTGTTATTGTTACTGTCTCGTGTATTGTCTCCCTTTGTAATGTACAGCACTGAGCAAACTGTTGGCGCTTTATAAATACTGTATAATAATATAATAATAATAATAATAAAAGTCTCTCCTGTGACCCATCTTTAAATGCTCCAGTTTGTTATTAAAGGCTTCATTTACTCAATTTAGGGTCCAGGTTCTACCCATGCACTGTTCCTCTGTTTAATTTGCACATCCTTATTGGAAACTGAGGTCCTCTTATTGGCTGGGGACATCAGGTGGGTGATGTCTAGCTTCTACTTCCTGTTATAGTGACACCCTGAGTCAACATATCACATACCAGGGCTCCTCGACCTATGGAGCGGACTCTGTTTGAGGATAATCATACAAAGTTGACCACCACCTTCTACTAAATTCTGCAAGCTGCAGGACCACAACCATATCCCAACCCCGGCACCATCTGCCTAAAGTTTGCATGTTCTCCCAGTGCCTGCGTGGGTTTCCTCCAGGTACTCCGGTTTCCTCTTACACTTCAAAGACATGCTGGTAGGATAATTGGCTCCTGTCTAAATTGGCCCTAGTATGTGTATGTATGAATGTGAGTTAGGGAGCTTAGATTGTACACCCCTTGAGGGTCAGGTCAGGGTCAGATGTGAATGTACAATATATATGTAAATCGCTGCATAAATTGATGGTGCTATATAAGTACCTGAAATAAATAAATAAATATGTGCACTCAAAATGGTAGAACTTCATACCAGACCAGACCTTGCCAAGGATAACTGGGAGGAGGCAACAGAGACCTGCTTTATCAATATAGTAAGCACAGCAGACAAATTTATAGAATTTAAAGCGGAGTTCCACTCACTCTGTAAAAAAAATAAAAGTCAGCAGCTACAAAAACTGTAGCTGCTGACTTTTAAAAAAACAGCCACTTACCTGTCCCACGATCCTGTTTTGCCCCTGCCGCGGCCCGTTTCACCAGCTGTCCTGTATTCCAGGCCCCAGCATCTTCAGTGTGGGCACCTGGCGGTGACAGCTTGCAGCTTCACATCCGGGTGCCCACTGCGCATGCGCAAGTAGCGCTTCTTGAATGGCCCAGTCGTCTTCTGGGACCTGTCACGTGTCCCACAAGACTTTGGGGAGGGATGGTAGGAGTACAACTTCCGTTTCCGATCGCCTAAGTACCTGTCAAATTTGGGTACCCGCTCTCCAAAGGTGCTAATCCTTAATGGGGAGCGGGGGACCAATCTCTAAAGCAGAACTTCCCCTTTTTGGTGGAACTCCGTTTTAAGGCTACTCATCATTTGCATTACGCGCCACATAGGCTACATTGCATGGGTCTCCTTTCCAATGCTCAATGTTTCAGATGTGGAATCTCTCCAGTTACTTTGTAGCACGTTTTCTGGACCTGTCCCCAAATCACCATCTGGGACGAGTTATATAATGTCTTAGGAAATAATCTTGATTCCCCTGGATTTTGGAATGCGTTATGGGGAAGAGGGGACGCGCGCGTGCGTGTGTGTGTGTGTATGGCTGAGGGTGGGTTGGAGTTCTATTTGTAACTCAGACTATGTAACACCATTATGGTACTTCCTAACTATGTACACAGTTCCACCTTTACTGTAATGTATGTTCTTTTGAATTGTATCTGGCTTGCAGGCTGGTATATACTCAGTGTGCTCTAGTGTTCTTTCTAGGCAGAAAAACTAAACACCTTATTGAAAAGAAAACAAAAAAAACATAACACATACCAGTACAAGATATGAGTGGAAATCTCCTGAGTGTGAGCACAGACATCAACAAAAAAAAAAACGATTTAACTTTTCTTCATTTTACTGAAACTGTGTTTTTTTAATTTGCTACCTTTGTTCTCATTTACAACATTTTCTCTCAGTTTTTGTTTAAATGATGATGAAGGGAAATCTCCCCATTGGGGACAGATGAAGCTATAAAAATTTCACACTTCCCAATTTCCAAAAAAATCCACAAATCTACCCTTCTTCACACTTCCCAATACAAAAAAAAAATCATCCCACCTTTATCTCATAGGAAACAATAACAAAACCCAAGCCAACCAAATGCATCTTCTGCAGGGTGTGTGCTGCAAGCCACTGTTTTAGATTTGGGTTTAGGAAAGAAGGAGAACTTACTTGTTTTTCTACATCTGTCCCAAATGATTTGATGCGTCCCCCATACCACCATGGGGTCCTGAAAGGGATAGAGGTGAGGGATCTGCCGACACTTTCTCTTCTTCCCTCCTCTTCAGACATGCTGCTTTAGGATTTAAGTTCCTTTCTACAAGACATAACGTAGCAAAATACTGCTCACTCTATAGGAAAAATATATACAGTGGATAAAAAAAGTCTACACTCCCCTGTTAAAATGTCAGGTTTCTGTGGTGTAAAAAAATGAGTCAAAGATAATTTCAGAACTTTTTCCATCTTTAATGTAACCTATAAACTGTACAACTCAGTTGAACAACAAACTGAAATCTTTTAGGTTGATAGAAGTAAAAATAAAAAACTAAAATAATATAGTTGCATAAGTGTGCACACCCTTACACTAATCATTTGTTGAAGCACCTTTTGTTTTGATTCCAACACTCAGTCTTTTTGGGTATGAGTCTATCAACATGGTACATCTTGACTTGGGAATATTTGCCCTCTCTTCCTTGCAAAAACACTCCAAATCTGTCAGATTGCGAAAACATCTCCTGTGCACAGCCCTCTTCAGATCACCCAACAGATTTTCGATCTCGATCGGATTCAGGTCTGGGCTCTGGCTGGGCCATTCCAAAACTTTCATCTGGTGAAGCCATTCCTTTGTTGATTTGATGTATACTTTGGGTTGTGTTCATGTGGAAAGATGAAGTTCCTCTTCATGTTCAGCTTTCTAGCAGAAGCCTGAAGATTTTGTGCCAATCTTGACAGGTATTTGGAACCAGGGTCGGACTGACCATTTGGAAACTCGGGCACTGCCCGAGGGCCCGGGTTAGTAGGGGGCCCCATGAGATTCCCCTGGTACCTTTTTCATAGGCTTTTTTGAGTTTGGGCAAGGACACAGGGGTCCCATGATCCCCTATTGCCTGGGGGCCCCATGAGTTGTCAGTCCGCCCACTGTTTGGAACTGTTCATAATTCCCTCTACCTTGACAAAGGCCCCAGTTCCAGCTGAAGAAAAACAGCCCCAAAGCATGATGCTGCCACCACCATGCTTCACACAACACAGTGGGTATGGTGTTCTTTTGGTGATGTGCAGTGTTGTTTTTGCGCCGAACATATCTTTTGGAATTATGGCCAAAAAGTTCAATTTTGGTTTCATCAGACCATTACACATTTTCTCACATACTTTTGGGAGACTTCAGATGTGTTTTTTGCAAAATTTAGTCGGGCTTGGATGTTTTTCTTTGTAAGAAAAGGCTTCTGTCTTGCCGCTCTACCCCATAGCCCAGACATATGAAGAACACGGGAGATTGTTGTCACATGTACCACACAGCCAGTACTTGCCAGATATTTCTGCAGCTCCTTTAATGTTGCTGTAGGCCTCTTGGCAGCCTCCAAGACCAGTTTTCTTCTCATCAATTTTGGAGGGACGTCCAGTTCTTGGTAATGTCACTGTTGCGCCATATTTTCTCCACTTGATGATGATTGTCTTCACTGTGTTCCATGGTATATCTAATGCCTTGGAAATTCTTTTGTACCCTTCTCCTGACTGATACCTTTTAACAATGAGATCCCTCTGATGCTTTGGAAGCTCTCTGCGGACTATGGCTTTTGCTGTAGGATGCGACTAAGAAAATGTCAAGAAAGACCTACTAGAACAGCTGAACTGTATTTGGGGTTAATCAGAGGCACTTTAAATGATGGCAGGTGTGTACCAACTCCTATTAAACATGATTTTGAATGTGACTGCTTAGTTCTGAACACAGCTACATCCCCAGTTATAAGAGGGTGTGCACACTTATGCAACCGCATTATTTTAGTTTTTTATGTTTACTCCCCCCTAAAAGATTTCAGTTTGTTTTTCAATTGAGTTGTACAGTTTATAGGTCACATTAAAGGTGGAAAAAGTTCTGAAGTGATTTATCTTTGTCTCATTTTTTTACATCACAAAAAACTGACATTTTAACATGGGTGTGTAGACTTTTTATATCTACTGTAAACATATACAATTTATTAAACATATACAAAGTAACAACCAAACATTTTTTGGGATGTTTGTTCAAGGAATGAAGACAAATATGTTTCCATTTTTAAAGCTAAAGTTTAATGTATGCAGGTAATACATTCCCTTGTTTTCTCCCCCACCCAATCAAAATACAGTTAAAATATTAAATAAAATTAATAAATTAAATTATTTTATTTTGAAGACATCCTTCTTTTGAGACCCAGCGATGTCTTCATTGGGTCTTTCTACTGGCCGTAGATCAAGTTTTAAAAGTTTTAATGAACGATCACACAGTTACAGCAAGGCATCGTTTCGGAGCCTCACAGGACCCCTTCATCAGGCATGTGACAATGTGTACTCACATGTCTGATGAAGGGGTCCTGTCAGACTCCGAAACGTTGGCTTGCTGAAACTATGTGATCGTTCATTAAAACTTTTGACCCATATTGGTGATCCTTGGTGTGCTGGTGACATTCTCCCTTGCTGACTCTGTTCAGTTCCAGCTGAGGGTTGCTGCAGCACCCACTTACACACACAGCCATTTTTAACACAGGAAGGTGTGCGTTTGGATTGTACACTTAAAAACGTGCCAATAACGCATAAATCTGCCTAAATGGAGCTACAAAAGTACCTCCAAAACTGTTTGGAGCTTCAGGGGATCTGGAGTGGAGATGTGAACCGTTTCCATAGAGTAATAGTGATTTTTTTCCTCCCTGAGTGTTTTGGAACTTCGAGCCTCGCACTACAAAACACAAAGATGTGAATGGGGCCTTAAGCCATAGCAAAACTTAAAAGTAATTAAGCCTCATTTTAATACATATATGCAAAGTGCTGCGCTGAATATTAAATACAAGAAATGATAACACCAAATTATATAATGAGAAATCACACAAATAAAGGCTAAATGTAAAATAATAAATCCATAAACTAAATAATGCAATAAACAAAGATATGGCATCCACAAAATGAAATAAATCAGTGTAAGTGAAATCAAGTAGAGTGATGTGACCGTGATACTACAAGACACAGCAGTGCTCAGTTCCAAATCAGTCAGTGTAGGTAAGATGAAGAAATGTGTCCGTGGCACTACAAGACACAGTAGTGTTCAATTCAAAACAGGTGCTGTGGAATCCAGTGAGACAATCCACCACCGCTATGGACTCACCAGAAAGCTACTGGTATAGCAGCGTTGTGTAAACTCTCAGATGGAGACTTGAAATCTTTGACCAGAAGGACTTCTCCTATGTCTACTCTGTCTCTCATTGTTGGTTCCCTTTTCAGGCTGCTTCTGTGCAGCCAGCGTCGATTCTCCCGCACCACCTTTTTGAAAACTCTATTGTTCCACACATGTGCAAGATAGACCGAAAGACGTCATGCACCTTCGGGTGATGCACTTATACTCTGCGCTGTACTAGCAGCTTGTTTTCCTCATATTAGCGCTCGCCATATATTTATATGTATTCTCATTTTATTACAGTTTAACCTCCCTGGCGGTATTCCCGAGTGTAGCTCGGGGTAAAGTTTCAGTACCAAAAGCGGTAACCCCGAGCTACACTCGGGCGTACCATGCAGCGCTGCTCAGGGATTCCCTGCAGAGCTTACCTTGTCCTTCGCTCCCGCGATGTGTCCCCTGCAGCGTCCCCGGCCATCTCCTCCGGCCGATGCCGGCATCCACCTTCCGTGTTCCGGTCACTGCGAGCATTGGGATGCACGGGACGTACGGGGGCCGGAACGGCGGCAAATTTAAAAATGTTTAGAAACTGTAATTTTCTTAGAAATTAATTTGACATAGTAAAACATTACTGTATCAAACCATTTCACATACATTTTGTCCAGAGTGCTTTGTCCTGTGCCCTGCCTGCATTTATACTGTTCTTTCTGCCTGGAAACTGAGAAATGTCCATGGCGTCCAAAAAGCGTCCCTTTTGGTCAAAAGCGGCTTTAGACCGGCTAGAGAACAGCGATAGTAAATCAGAACCACTTGCAGAATTGAGTGATAATGATTCGTGGGGAAATTCCTCATCAGACACTGAAAACGACTGAGCTCAGCGATGTGCAAACTTGGCGCTCTATTTCAAATTTCAGTGTTTTGGTTTGATTATATTATTGAATTAAATTTATTATTATATTATTATTTTTACGATTATTTATTAAATTATAATTTATGATTTTGTGTTTCAAGTTTTATCCTACCCGGAATGTTTACTAGACTCTTGTTCGGACAGATTTTAGTGAGTTATTTCTAAAAATTACAGCCTACAATAAAAAAAATACATATTTCCATGCAAAATAATGGTACCGCTTTCGGCACCAAAAATCTGAAATAATCATACCGCTAGGGAGGTTAAATTATAATTTATGATTTTGTGTTTCAAGTTTTATCTACCCGGGATGTTTACTAGACTCTTGTTCGGACAGATTTCAGTGAGTTATTCCTAAAAATTACAGGCCTACAATAAAAAAAATACATATTTCCATGCAAAAAAATATACCGCTTTGAGCACAGAAATACGGACATAATCAGACCGCTAGGGAGGTTAAAACATATATATTGATTTACTAAAACTGGAAAGTGCACAATCTGGTGCAGCTGTCCATGGTAGCCAATCAGCTTCTAACTTCAGCTTGTTTAATTAAGCTTTGGTAATAAAAAATGAATTCCGATTGGTTTCTATGCAGAGCTGCACCAGATTTTGCACTCTCCAGTTTTAGTAAATCAACCCAAATGTGTGCTTACTTTGTATTTTGCATCTAAATGACAACCCTACACTGGGGTGCCTTATTGTTACTATTTTACAGCAGACCTGAAGGTAGTTGTTGTGGGGCTGAGGGTGAGAACTAAGCAGGTACCAAGTGCTATCATATGTTTAGATCTGGATAATAAACATGCAAATCTGGTAAATCAATGGTTGTGTTCATCATAGTTGCTCACCTCTGACTTGCTGTTCTAAGCTAAGGATGACAGCTACAGCCTGATGGAGTATCAGAAGCTTGGTCTGGGGTTTGTCGCTTTTTAAGTGAAGCTGCACCATCCTCCCCAGTTCCTTGAAAGCTTCGTTGATGTCGCGGACACGGAGACGCTCACGAGCGTTATTAGCCATCCTTCTTTCTTTCTCCCGCTCCGCCTTCTGCTCGGGGGTCAGATCCTCATCGTCGTTATTGCTGAGAAATAATAGAGATGTTGAAATAAAAACTCCGGGCAAACCAAAAGGCAGCGCATTATAAAACAAACATACATTAGAGAAGAACTTCATACTAGTCAGAAATATCTCAGTACAAAACCTTCCAATGGCAGAGCTTCTGATGGTGAAAGTGCTGCTAATATGCAAATGAATGATTTCTTAACCACATGCCCTCTCGAGTATTTACCCCCCCCCCTTCCTGACCAGACCATTTTTGGAGTTACGGCGCTGCGTTACTTTAACTGACAATTGGGCGGTCATGCAGTGTTGCACCCAAATTAAATTTACGTCCTTTTTTCCACAAATTGAGCTTTCTTTTGGTGGTATTTGATCACCTGTGTGTTTTTTATTTTCTGCATTATAAAAAAAAGACCAATAATTTTGAGAAAAAAAAAACAATATTGTTGACATTTTGCTATTAAACATGTCCAGTAAAAAAATTTAAAAAATCAAATTTCGTCATAAATTTACACCAAAATGTATTCTACTACATGTCTTTGCTCAAAAAAATCCCAATATGTGTAGATGAATTCATTTACATGAAAGTTATAGCGGTATATACACTGGGGGTTTTTGTTTTTTCATTTTTAATTTTTACTAGTAATGACGGCAATCAGCGACTTATAGCGGCAGACATTTTGACACTGGGGGGAACTGATTTGGTGTCACTGATATCCCCAGTGACATCAATACAGTGATCAGTGCTAAAAGAATGCACTGGCACTGTACTAATGGCACTAGGGAGGGAGGAGAACTGTAAACAAAACAGTTTTCCCCATTGGAGATCCTTGGAAATCACCGGGCGCCAGCGAATAATAACCGGCTGGGACCCGGTGCCTGACAGCCGCGGCACGGGTAGGGTGCGAATGCGGCTTGCGTGTGCCCCCTACCCAGAAATGCAAAATCACGTATATATTGGTGATTTTGTGCACCAGTGCCACCCTGTAGCAGTATTTCTGCTATAGGGCAGTCAGGAAGTGGTTTAATTATAACAAAAAATTTTTTATTTTTTAGTTTTGGATAGAGTGTAGAGGGATTAGAACCCCTGTCAGTTGTTATTGATGCATGTGCCCCTGTTAAGGAGATTCGCCCTCTCTATATGTTCTGTTTACCATTATCATTGAAAGTGTAAGTAAAGAAAATCCCAAATTTTGGTTTGTCTCTGAAAAGTAAAAGAGGGGAAATCTTCCAATGGGGACACTAGTTCTGGTGACCTGGGAGTCTTCAAGGGATTTCTATAATTTTGCAGGAATTTCTTCTAACTTCCTGTTTGGTTATGAGACAGCAAATGAAGGGAAATCTCCAAAATGGGACACAGATGGCAAAAAAAAAAAAATCTGACAGGGTTTACAACCCTCCCTTGCTCTATCCAAAATAAAAAAAAATTGCCTATAATTCTACTTACTTTAAATCAGGCATCTAGAATAATCTATGGCACATGTGTCAAACACAAGGCCCATGGATCTGGAATCTGACCCGCCAGGCCATTTCATATGGCCTCTCCTGCAGCTGCGGCACCCCCACCCCCAACTTTTCTCAGCAGTCGGTAACAGACAGGAGGGCAGAATTTCTCCTACAGATCCTTTGTCTCTCTTTGCAGCTGCAGCACAATCACATCTCCACCTCTCTAGTCTCAGCATTCTGCAGACTCTGCCAGCGGACTCCAGTCCTCCTCCAGACCCTGCACTTTCTGCTTCCCAGCTATGTCCCCAGCTTCTTCCCGGCAACAGCAAAAGGTAAGTGGTGTGTACTGTGGTGTAAGGGAGGGTGGAGTCTTAACCTCTGATGGTGGTGGGGGGCTCCTGTCATCTGATGTTAGGGGGGGGGGTACTCTGGACATCTAGTATTACAGATACAACCAGTCCTTTGAGGGCAACCATAATGCTGATGTGGCCCATGATGAAATTGAATTTGACACCCCTGGTCTATGGTCTCCATCAACCCTGCACCCACCCTGTGAGCCAGGCTGGGTCTATACCAACCCACTCCAGCCACATTTCATCTTCATGACTGATGCAGGAAGCACAATACAGAAAAGTCTATATTGGTCCATGAACAGTAAATGCTGATCTAGAATAAGGATTACGTTTTTCCTGAACGTCCACTTGGGTTCCATCATGCGGTGAACCATTTGGTGGCTGTGATGTGTTATGCACACTGCCTTGTGCAGTGAGAACATTTACCTTTGTTTCAGCTGAGAGGTAGGGCAGAAATGAGCTAACAACGCAGGAGACTAACAACGTAATAAAAGCCCTTTAGAGGAAAAGGGACTAAAGCTGTAGAAAAAAAGCATGGCGCCCAAAATGAGGCTTCAATGGGTAACTAAATTAAAAAAATAAATAAATAAGAAAAACGATGTATATAGAATATATAATTGCAAGACAAGCCTTCTGTAATTTTTCTGTAATTTAGTAGAAGACCTGCTCACTTAGCACTTACTAAGTAGAAAGTTCTTGGAATCCATAAGTTCCCATATGAACAGCACCAGCTGTCCAAAATCCTTGTAATGTATTTAGCTGACCAGTGGAGGAATGTTTTCTTTGCAAAAGAGGAGTTGCACTTTAAATGGTCAGTGTACCCTAAACTGATACCTGAGTTTTGAGTGGCAAAGATCGGCTGTACACACTGGCCATGACCAATATAAAGGGGTCCTCACAAGTATATATTCTGATTCAGCAAAGGTCATGTGATAGCTTCACCCTAGGTTCACACCTAAGCGTTTTCTGTGGCGTTTTGCAGAAACGCAGTGCAGTCCATTTAACACGATTTCCTATGGGACATGTTCACATCTGCGCATTTTCACCCGCTGCGTTTTTTGGAAAGGGTCGGGGACTTTTTGAATGCAAAACTTTGTGTTTTTGCTTCTATAGACTTCAATGGGAATGCTGCAGAAAAGAATGTATCACGTTTTTGTTGCATTTTGTGTTTAAAATCTGCCTGGCAACAAGAAAAATAAAAAAAAAATTACACCCCCCCCCCAGCAAAACGCATCAAAAACGTGGCAAGACCACAAGTGCACAAACGCAAAACGCAATGCAGACACACCTCAAAATGCAACCTGCATAGGTGTGAACCTAGACTTAAAGGAGCAGGGTGTGGGGCATTCACCTACAGGCCTAGCATTGCCCATGATAACTTTTTCATTTTGGGGGTGTTGTCTGAAGGAGACATGCCTGAAGCTTGCCCTAAGACTACTACTATGTTCTCAAAGGTTATGTATGGGGGCAGCTATATATTTGCTCTGTAGATATGCAGGCTGAGCACAGTGACTGTGATTTACCAGCCATTCAGCAGGGATATTGATTGCAATGCCTGGAAAGCAGAGGGAGAATCTTTCACTTTGCATATTAGCTACAATCATGGAAATATGGTGCAGAAAGCATTACAACTGTAAAAATCACATCAAACCTTTCCTCCAAGTAAACTTTAGAATAACAAAATACATTATAAATCATTTACTGGCAAGAACAAAATTCTGAGCTTATTTAGGAGTTAGTTCGACACTCTCGTGCACACGATAATGCTGCAAATATGCTGCATTGTTTTCTGCCAGAAATTGACAGAAAAAGAATGTTAATATATTTAGGCCATTGGAAACGTACACACATTTAGACGCGTTTACACGCATAACAGCCGCTGAAAACCTGTGCTCCAATCGCAGGTTTGGGGCATTTTTATGCCCATGAATCCTGTGCACAAATACGAACATAACTGTCTTCATGTACATAGCCGCATTAAATAACATGGAGCTGCATTCATGGTCAAAGAAAATACCAGATGCCCCCAGCAGAGGCAATTTTTACTCCAGTGTTCATGAGGCCTTATACAGCAAAACAAGTCAACAAACATTACAAGACAATAAAACATTCAGCTTTGAGATAATGTACTATCCTGAAAAAGAATCATTTCACTTCCTACACTCACCTTGATTATGGAGAAATACCCCGCAAGGGTCAATGCGCTTAAATCTGTAAACCTTTATGAAAAAAATATTTCTTGAAATTCAGAAATGTTGAATTTGGAGTACTGGAAAAAAACTCTCTAAAGGAACAGTAATCTGGTTTAGTATGTTTAGTATGCAAGGAAAAAACAATTTTCTTAGTTTTTTTTTATTACTGTCTGTGTTGCCACTGGGGTGATTTTCTCTCTCTTTCGGCCTAGGTGACCCTTACGACCCCAAGACAGAAAGTGATGGCAAATCCAACATTTTAAGGTTACAAAGGAAGGGAATTGTTTCAGTGGAGACATTAGCTTTAGGTAAAGCTTCATTATTATTACTATTATTAATAGTAGTAAATGAAGAAATGAAGAATGTATAAGCAACATAGGGTAAAACATTATTTTGTATTATATGATTACATGTAACTTTGTCCTTCTGCTTTCCTATTTTAAACTGACCACGCCATGCATAGAAGCTCATTCATCCGAGTGTGGTCAGTTTTCTGGCTGTGCTGAGAGCAGAGCCTGTCTGTAATCCAATGGTCAGACTTGTGCTGACACGCCCCTCTGCACAGCCATTTAATGTACTAGTGTTTTTCTGCCTCTTGCTGACACACCGGGGTTTATTTACTAAAAATGGTTCACTCAGAATCTGGTGCAGCTGTGCATGGTAGCCAATCAGCTTCTAACCTCAGCTTGCTCAATCAAGCATTGGCAATAAAACCTGGAAGCTGATTGGTTTCTATGCAGAAGTGCACAAGATTCTTAGTGAACCAGCTTTAGTAAATAAACCCCACCCTGTCTACTCCCACCTCTTAAAGCCCCTTATGCAGCTGAGAGAAGAGAACACCTGATTATTTTTTTAAAAGAAAGGATAAAAAAGGTATATACACAAACGTTTTGTGTTTTTTTCATTTCTATTTTAAACTGGATGGGTTGTTTTGCAAGGTGAGCTTTCACATATACTTTGAAGAAGAAAT